AAATGTTAGAGGGTTATATTATATTATTTTGTGGTGGTGGGTTTGGTATCGAGAGAAGTTGGTGAGAGAAAGAAATAAAATATTATTATCAACTTCGTAAAAGATGAAAAAATTATTGCACTTTTGACTTCGTGCACACACAGACATTATTAGTTGACATTTATGCCCCTATTGTTAGTCCTATAATCACAAAATTGCCATACTTTTCTCGATTTTCTCTTCTGTGCATTCGTAATCTCTCTCTTAATCTGAATTTAGTACCTTGAGAGAAGTCATTTTCTTCTTGTTCATAGCAAAATAGATTAATCCCATTGTAGGAATTTATTTTCTCAAGTGATCTCTTTGGTTTTTGAAATGAAATAGAGCTTTAAGTGGTATGAATCATTGTTACGAGTTTGTAGATATTTGGGTATTTGCATGCCTCTTTGTTTTTTTAACAAGTCTAAACAGTGAACTATTGCAAATTGCAAACCTATGAGTTTGGTTTCTTTTCTTCTGCAAAGCAATTTTGTGATTTGACTTAACAGAGATTTTAAACTGTGCAAAATCTAGCCGTTCACTAATAATGTTTATCTACCCAACCACTAGCACTAGAATTACAAAGCTGCCACATATTGCAAAGTTTAATGTTGAAGATTACAAAACACTGGTGCAGAGGTAATTCATTAATTAATAGAAACAAGTTTAATAAGATATAAAACATAAGCTTGGTTGTTTATATAATGTATGATTATAAACATTATTCATGCCCTAATGTTTATTGGCACCCACTTTGCTTATGTTATCAAGAAAGCCTTTAATTATTATCTATTTGAATTGGTATAGAAATGCCTTTAACGACGTCGTTGACGGCATAATTTAGTATAAGAATTGCCATGAACCTAATGAATCAACAACGCATTTGAAAGGCCTATCAACTCAATAATTAATATGAGTATATGACATTTGTAACCAAGAACAGTAATTTCTGTTCTACAAACTTAACCAAATAAATTAAAAACAAAGATTATGAAGTTTCAGAACTCAAATGAAAACAAAATAACCGGATTTTCACTAGCAGTGATCTCAATAACCGAAAACAAAATAACCGGTTATTTTTGTTCGACAAACTTAACCAAATAACCGGATTTTCACTAGCAGTGACCTCAATTTCTTTGTCGTTAAAGATGGTGACAGTTGCACTAAAGAGTCATTTGGAACATCTCCATCAGCATGCTTGCTATTTGAAGTTGACTCACCAGCATCACCGTCCACAATGGATTATGGGGCTAGCACAGCAGCATTGTCACTTTTTGTATCTGCCACTAATTGTGGAGCTGATTAGACCCTCTGGACATCTGCATCAGTCCCTTGAATATCACTTTTCTGCGAGACAGGACCTGATGAAGAGGCCTCGTCGGTGGAAATAGAACTTTTCGATGGAGGCACCTCTGACTGTGAAACTTATGGGCCAGATTGATCACCAAAATCTCTTTTATGAGAAGATTCTTCTTTTACAAGTTTCTGTTGAGCCTACAAATACATACCAGAACGAACAAGTTCTCTTGTGTCTTAATCATGTACTAAACAAAGAGAAGGACTTACAAATAAGAGATCCACGGAAATACCTTTTTCTTTGAAGTTGGTCTTTTCACTTGAGACCCTTTTTTATTAGAAGCTTCAGCCACCTCAAGCAAAAGAAAAAATATTATAAGAGACTAACATCAAACTGATAAAGGAAGTTTTGCTTAGACTAACTACAGGACAATTTGAACTCGGTGCTATAGATACATTCTGATGATCCTATAACTAGCGTTCATCGATTTATCCAAAATTATAAGAATGTAAAGGGTACACATTGCATTCGACAGTTCCAACATTCAAATTGTAATCACAGATCAACCAAAGCTTTTGTAATCATAGAGTAAATCTCGAAAGAATCAGCACAGTACCTGGCAACTGCAAATCGGACTAAGATAGCTCTTCAACCACAAACTTGGCCCTTCGATCCACAACCTCAAATAAATCTGAACATAATGAAAGCGTTAAATCCAGAAACAATCCCCAAAATTTGTCTGTTCATATGCTAAATATCCCATGAGAAAGATGCAATTTCTTCATCTACGAAAAAACTCATCCAGCGCTCTTCTCAAATCCTGGTACTTTTTAAAGATCAGAGCGAAAAATAACCTGTTTAGAGGGAAAAGAAAAGAAACAACAAATGAACATGGCGAGATGGGACAGTTCACATGATGATCACACAACAAAAAGGGGGGAAAGCTACAGTCGCTGCTAAATACCTTTCTTTGCGATCTTCTACGCTCAGTCTTCAGTTGCTAAAATAGAAGTAGAGAAGAAACCAAACCATCATCAAGCTATGTGAGGGCTTGCTTAATATAAGCTTCACTATATAACATACTTTAAATTTCGTAAGTAAAAAAGCAGTGTACCACATGCACATTTTATCTGACAAATTTTAAATAAAACAAGACCATTAAAGATATCTGATTAGTGATTACACATGTATGTAGAGACATCTGATTACACATAGCAGATTAAAGATAGCAAACCTGGTATATCTCATGCAGCTGAACAGCAGCTACATAATCTTCATCGTCCTTCTAGGCAATGTCTGATGAAATGCAAAGACCTGCAAATGCATATATAGCTTTGTTATCAACTGGTATATGATCATGATCAACAATGTTGATTCCGTAACAATCAGAAACCATATCCCATGAATCTAAGAAGAACAAAGTGAACCCGAAACTTCTAAATCAGTGAATACGAATAACATCTTTACAAGAATTAACTAAGCCAATTCTCTGAGAATTCTTAAATCGGATTGCAATCTAGTATCAGCACCATTTCGAAGCTCAAATTCACAAATTGAATTCAAAATCTTTCAACGTCTACTACGAATTAAGCTACAAAAAATCATACTATCCTGTTTTTTTCTACCATCTTCAACCGAATTAAGCTATATAGCTCTGTATGCTCCTACTCTACTTTCGTCACTTCACTTTTAGAAGCTGACAACTCTTTTTGCCACTGTGTAATGCTAGTTTCGTATGACTTGGTAAGCTCTTGCTATTACAGTAGAAATGAAGACATGTAATTAGGAAAGGAAAGCTTTGCTTAGGCTAATAACATCAAACTGGTAAAGGAAAGTTTTGCTTAGGCTAACTACAGAAACTGCTTAATCCATTTTCTGATGATCAGGTGTTATCCTATTACTAACGGTAAACATTGCGTTCAACAGTTCCATGGTTCCAACATTCAAACTGTAATCACAGATCAACCAAAGCCAAAAGATAAGCACAGTACTTGGCAATTGCCAATCGGACTGAGATAGTTCTTCAACCACAGACTTGGCTCTTCGATCCACAACATAACGAAAGCGTTAAAACCAAAAACAATCCCCAAAATGTGTCTATTCATGCACCAAACGCCATGGATGATCAAAATAGAAAGTAGAGGAGCTTACATGCACAACTGGCTCCGAACAGATTTGGAATCAAGAGATGGGTTTTAGGTTACGGAGTGGAGTCTCATCTCTGTAACATAGATTGTTCTTTGGGTTCTTTATGCGATTAAAAGAAAAGACTGACAATAAGCATCATCATCATCATCTAAAAGAAAAGATAGATTGCGTTTAGAATATTAAAATAGAATATAATCAATGTTCGTATGTCGTCATCATCATCTACACAATCAGCATCCGCATCTACACAGTCACATTGATAGTGG